GCCCATGGCGCCCCCGCCTGGAGCCCCCCAGAGCCACCCCGCCGCCTGAGCCCGGTAGCGCGCCTGTTGACTCGCCCACCCATCAGCCCGCCGGGCGCTCTGGCCCGCCGCTTGAAGGGCTCCCCGGTCATGTCTCCCGCCCGTCTCCGGCCCCGCCTGCGGTTCTGCTTGCTCTTGCTGCTGCTGCTGGTGCCGGCGGCGCGCGGCTGCGGGCCCGGCCGGGTGGTGGGCAGCCGCCGGCGGCCGCCGCGCAAGCTCGTGCCGCTCGCCTACAAGCAGTTCAGCCCCAACGTGCCGGAGAAGACCCTGGGCGCCAGCGGGCGCTATGAAGGCAAGATCGCGCGCAGCTCGGAGCGCTTCAAGGAACTCACTCCCAACTACAACCCCGACATCATCTTCAAGGACGAGGAGAACACAGGCGCGGATCGCCTCATGACCCAGGTGAGAGCGACCCGCCCCCCCCAGCGCGCCGCCGCCGAAGCACTGCCACCTGCCCAGCCCTACCCGCCCCCCTGGCACCTTTTCTCGACTGCCCAGCCCGCCCCCGGCACTTGCTCCTCTCGCTAAGTCTGGCTACCTCCTACCCGAGATGCACAGGCCAGGGGTCCCTGCCGGGGTGTCCGCGTCCCGGAACCCGCCGGAGTCTGCGAGAAGAGGCTCCTGCTGCCAAGTCCCGCAGCCCGGCAGGTTAGCCGCGGCCCCTCTGCCTCCGGCGTGCATGCTAGCAGCTCTGGCGTGAGGCGGCACCCGGAGATACCTCGACCCGGCTATCTTCCTCCTGTGCCTCCCGGACCCACGCCGTCCCTCCCAGCCTACCCCTCCGCGCGGCTGCGCCCCTTTCATTGCGAAGCCATTCAGCCCGGTGAGGCGAAGAAGCTCCGGGCGCGGAGGCCCCATGCCCGGCCGCCGCGCGCGCTAGTGGTTCGCTGCGCTGCCCCCGCCAGGAGTACAGGGGGCGGGGTCGGGGCCGTGTCTGCTGGGTCTGGGATGAAGACACCGCGGGGAACAGTTGAGCTGGGAGGCGGAGGTGGGAGAGGGAACAAGCCCGGCGAGCCCACGTGTCTGAGCGGCGAGGCTGCGGTTGAAGGGTGGGGTGCGGGGGCCTTCGGGCCCTGGGACCGAACTTGGGAGATCCCTGGGCTCGGCGGTGGGGACGCGAAAACTGGAAAAGATGGGCTGGGATGCCGAGGGAGGCAGGAAACAGCTGAAGCTAGCCCTTGCGTGCTCGAAACAAGACCCGCGTTCCGGCGGAGCGCCGGGGCGCAAATTTCCTTCCCTGCATCCGGGTCTGAAAGCAGAGAGACCTAACGCCGCATCCTTCTGGGGTCTCCCGGGGCTTCCCCAGCAGGAAGGCTGAGGCTTTCTAGGTCCTTTAGGAAGAGCAGCTAGACCACGGCCCTCAGCACGCGCCCTGAAGCTGGGGCTGGCCGGCCGGTGTCGGGGCCGAAGGTTGGCTGGTGGCCGGGCCGGGCCGGGCGCCGAGGAATGCAGATAAGGATCCGGGCCACGGGCTGGGCAATCATTGACAGCAAGCGCCCCAGCTCTGGACCCAGGGGAGTGGGGGAAGGAGAAAGGGCGGGGAGCAAGGGCCCGCGGGGAGGACATAGGTGGGGGGCTAGAGGCCTGGCGGTGAGGACCAGGAAGGAGCACGCAGAGCTCCCTCCCCGGCAGGAAGCGCCCCCAGCCAGGCTGTGCGCAAGGGAGGACTGGCTGGGCCTTGGGTTGTACCCGCTCGTGGCTTCCGGGAGGCCAAGTCCAAGGGTCTGTAGGGCCTGGGCTCCGCGGGTTGGGGGTAGGCTGAGACTGGGCTCTCCACACTTGGCTGCCGGGACGCACCTCAGAGACACCGACTGGTGGAAGGGCCCCCTCCACCGCATGCTGAGGCCCTGGCCCCTGCGCCCCTCTCCTTCTCCCCTTCCCCCACCCCCACCCCCGCAGCTGCAGGGTGTCTTGCTCCTGAGGCCCCAGGCACGCGGGGAGGCAGTAAGGGCAGATGGTCCCTCCCATCCTTCTCCCAGGGTGCAGCTCTACCCCCACTCCGAGTGAGGCAGAGCGTGGAGTCAGCTCCCTGATTCAGAGGCTCGGTTTCTCGGGTCCCTTTCCATGTATGGGTGGCGCACCGGCGCAGACGTGCTGAGGGCGCTGGGCTCGAGGAGCACGTTGCCTTGGCTTGTCAATCCCGCGCGCGCGCCCCTTGCGGCGGGAAACGCTTCGCGTTGCCCCCACCAGGCTGAGTCCGGCACTAAGTCCTTCACCAAATTCCTTTGCCTCACGAGCCCATCCTGTCCTGGGAGTGGATGCGGGCGGGTTTCAGATCGTAAGAAAGTCCAGCAAGAAGGCTCTGTGGCGCCCAAAAGATCCAGGCTGACCTGAGATTCCCGTCCCAACACACCCTCGGCGCAGCTGGGGCGACCTGCACCTGCCGCGCCGCCGGGGCCCTAGGTCCCCGGCCTCAGCCCTAAGGCTACGGTGACACCTACTGGGCACCTTGGGCCTTGCACGCCTAGCAGGCCAGCCGCAGGCTGTCCGCTCCGCTACAATCCCCTCTCTTCTGGCCGCGCACGAGTCCTAGTGCCTTGGCGAGGCAGAGGTGTGGGGCCTTCGAAAGGTGTAGTCCCGCCTCTGGAGGGACCGGTACCCCGACCAAGAGAAAGAGAGCGAACACAGGAGGGAAGAACTCCATCTGTCGTGGAAGGGCGCCCAGAGGGTGGTGGCTCCACGCGCCCTCCAGATTTGGCGCCACCATGCAGTCCAGGTCCTTGGGGCGACCCAGATCCTAGAATGGGAGCGAGCACGTTGGGGCCCTCTGTTCCTAAGGATAACCTCCCGGGTTTACCAACCCCATCCAATGCGGTAGGAGAGTCCCGAGCGAAGCTGCACCCGCACCCCAGCAGGTTCCTCACCTTAGCTCTTCGCGCTTTCTTCTCGCAGCGCTGCAAGGACCGCCTAAACTCGCTGGCCATTTCCGTGATGAACCAGTGGCCCGGCGTGAAGCTACGGGTGACGGAGGGCTGGGACGAGGACGGCCACCACTCCGAGGAGTCACTGCACTACGAGGGCCGCGCAGTGGACATCACCACGTCGGACCGCGACCGAAATAAGTACGGGCTGCTGGCTCGCTTGGCCGTGGAAGCCGGCTTCGACTGGGTATATTATGAATCCAAGGCCCACGTGCATTGCTCCGTCAAGTCCGGTGAGCCGCCGCAAGGGAGCTGGGCCCGGGGCCGGGGCCGCAGGGCGTAGACAGGCGGCACTGGGCCCTCTGGGGCCCAGAAGGTGAAGAGGCTGGGCCAGGGATGGAGGCAGGAACTTCTGGGAAGAGGATGTCGGCAGCGCTTCCCGCTGCTACTCATGACTGCCTGCTCCTCTCAGGCCTGGTAGTGACAAGGCAGGAGCCTAGGGAGACAGGGCCATGTCCCCGAGCCCAGGGTGCTGACCTGGCGGTCCACAACCCAGAGCCTGCAGCAGGAGGTGCAAGACAGAGCAAGCTGGACAGATGAAGGAAGCCAGGACGGCAGAGGCACCTCCCCACTCAGCCGGGTGCAGAAGGAGGCTGTTGTGGGGCCAGGGACCAGGGTGGGCCAGATCCCAGCATGCCTTACCAGGAGCCCAGGAGCCCGAGGTTCAGACCCAGACCCAGCTCAGGTCAGGCGCTTTAGGATGCTGTGTATGCTCCTCCCAGGGGGCGCAGGCGTCCCCAACCTGTCCCCCAGGGCCCTGAAGCTGGACACTTTGGGGCCAGAAAAAACAGAGTGGACTCAATAAAGTGGACTTTCCCAGATTGGCCGCCTTGTTGATCAGAATTGGCTGGAGCGGGGCCCCTCCCCCACCCGAGTCTTGTCAGCATCCTGGTCACCTACACTGAACCCAGCTATGGATGCTTCCCATGGTTCCTGTGTGACCCCCAACCTGGCCCCGCCTGGCTTGCAGGCTCACCTCTCACACTGGTCCCATGTAGTAATCACACCCACACACAGACCCGGCACACTGAATCAGGCCTACTTTCTTGTACTCCCCACACTGACCCATGGCCACTGACCCTTCCCCTGAGCATGTCCCCCACCAACTGTATTTACTTCAAGTCACATCAACGCTTTACCTGCCACACTGACCTCATGCTAGCTCCCAGACTGGCCACCATTCATTTCTCCTGCCCCTAAACATTGCTCTCCCTTTTTACCTGTTGATGCCACTGTGGCCTGTCCCCACAAAAGGACATCAATTGAAGACAGTGATTACGTCCACCCACTGACCCACCCCCTGACCTGACAGTTCATGCCAGGCTTCCCGGGAGTCTGTCTGTGTCCCACTGGCTGATCTTCCTTTGGCTTCCATGTAGAATCACAGAAATTGGGGGTATAAGTCTGAGAAGGCAGTTTAGGGGAAGTGTCTGACCAAGAGTTGAGAAATAATGGGACATCTGGACCCCAGAGGAACTAAGCCATCTCCCCCTCCATGAGGCTGCAGCCTTCCCTGTCCCAAGTCACAGCTGACCGTTGCCTGGCTTGGCCAACCATTTGGCCCCGGTGATGCTTCCCAGCATAGTCATGACATAAGCAGATGGGGGGCTTCACCTGGTCCTCAGAAGGCCTCTTCTTCTCTAACCCACTGGGTCTTAGAGCCCCAATATGCTCCTCTCATTGGCAAAGGATTATGGAAGAAGGGAAGCAGAAGGTCACATTGGGGGTTGGGTGGAGGGTATCAAAATGCATGGGAAGTTGGCGGCAGGGGCTCAGATATGATGCCAGGAGCACGAGTAGCTTTGGCTGGGCTGGGGGACTGGCGAAGGGTGTTGGGGGTGGGAATCCGGGTTCCACATCAGTAACACCTTCATGTTCCTTCTTCCCACAGAGCACTCTGCCGCAGCCAAGACCGGTGGCTGCTTTCCTGCTGGAGCCCAGGTGCGCCTGGAGAGTGGGGCACGTGTGGCCTTGTCAGCTGTGAGGCCAGGAGACCGGGTGCTGGCCATGGGGGAGGACGGGAGCCCCACGTTCAGTGATGTGCTAATTTTCCTGGACCGCGAGCCAGAGCAGCTGAGGGCCTTCCAGGTCATCGAGACCCATGACCCCCCGCGCCGCCTGGTGCTTACGCCTGCCCACCTGCTCTTCACCTCCAACAATCACACAGAACCGGCGGCTCGCTTCCAGGCCACGTTTGCCAGCCAAGTGCAGCCTGGCCAGTATGTGCTGGTGGCTGGGCCACCAGGTCTGCAGCCTGCCCGAGTGGCAGCTGTCTCCACACACGTGGCCCTTGGGGCCTACGCCCCCCTCACAAGGCACGGGACGCTGGTGGTGGAGGATGTGGTGGCCTCCTGCTTTGCAGCCGTGGCTGACCACCACCTGGCTCAGTTGGCCTTTTTGCCCCTGCGACTGTTTCACAGCTTGGCATGGGCCAGCCGGACCCTGGGCGAGGGTGTGCACTGGTACCCCCAGCTGCTCTATCGCCTGGGGCGACTCTTGCTGGAAGAGGGCAGATTCCACCCACTGGGCGTGTCTGGGGCAGGGAGCTGAAAGGGTCCCACCACTGCCCTACCGGAACTGCCATCCTGGGTCCAAAGGCCTCCCCGCTGGAGGGCGCTGGCCCTGGAAGAGACTGGCAGGGGAAGGCACTGGCTCCCACCACCTCCTCTACCATGGAGATGCACCAATGAGACTTGACAGGGCAATGCCAGTGTCCCCCAGCCCCAGCATGGTTGGTGAAAGAGCTGCAAGCTGAGCTGGGGAGAGGGTCTGTCCTTCTATCCTAGAGGCCTCGAGGCTGGCATGATGGGTGCCAACCCAGCCAGCCCTCACTACTCGTTTTCATACTCTGCCTTCCCTGATGGGGAGGGCCATTCCATCTGTCTTAGGCCCCCATAGGTGGGCTTGCACCTCAGTTGATGCTGCTAGATTCCCTGGGAGCCAGCAAGGTGAGCTGGCTAGACTCAATGCCTCCCAGAACCGAGAAGGCCACAGGTGGGGCAGCCAGCCTGGCAATCCTGAAGAATGACCTTCCTGCCTGGCCACACTCCTCGGGACACATCCAGAGACTTGCTGTCAGTGGACAGAGTTCTGTGTTCCAGCCAACGTGACCACAGGACCAGGGGCCAGGGGAAGGGGACTAGATGTCCTTCCTACCCAAGCTGAGCTCCCTTTTCTGCTGAACCATGGCCCCCACCCACTCCTCCGGTCAGTCTCTTCCCCCCTTATTTATTGGAGCAGAGGAGGAAGCCAACGGGAGAATTTGGGGGATGTTTTGGTCTTTTCTTCCTTTTGTAATAAAAATTATTTAAGTTGTTAGAGCCTCAGAGCCCAGGACGCTGACTGGGGCCAATACAGGGATAATTTGTCACCATGAGTGGGTTTGTCAGGGGTTTGCTCTCCTCCTTGGTGAAGCCTAGCTCTCCTTCCCCCAAGGACAAAGCCTCCAGTGCCTCCACCCTCTTGCAGGCTCTTTCTCACCCCGGAGCTCTCAAAGTCCCAACAGAGAGCTGTGCTCTGCGCCTGGCATGCTATCACATGCTGACCCCAAAGTGTGTCCTAAAAGTAGTTACACCGGAGAGGGAACTGCGGTGACTAATCCATGGTCACTTCACTCATCTGGAACCTACCCCATCCTGCCCAGTCAAGGTACTTTCTCTGGCTCCTCAGTCTTCACTGGGCCTGGGTTTCTGATTCTTTCCTGTGGGTAATGGGCTGCAGTATGAAAAGATTCTGTAGAATTAACATAGGTCTGTGGCCCATTCTGACTTCTTGGGCAAGTCAGGGATCCCTAATCTAGCAGTTCTCAGAATCACCTGGGCAGCTTGTCTCAAAGTGATTCCTGGGCCCCACTCCCAAGATTCTGCTTTAATAGATCCAGAGTGAGGCCCAGGAACTTATTGTCATAAACACCTCAAGCACTGCAGATGGTCCATGGGCCCCACTTTGAGAAACACTGCTTAGTCTAGAGAAGACCCAGTTCATTGCCAAGATGGGATGACCCCTTCTTCTCTTTCTCTTGGCCTCTCCACCCCAAGGCTGGTTTTTCTGTACTCGCCACAGATCCACTGAGGTACCTAGGCCCAGTGGTGTGCTAGAAATGGCTCACTCCTGCTTGCAAGAGGCAGTTGTTAAATTTTCAAGAATTTGGTGAGCTAGTTGACACATGCTGTTAGGTGAGAGTGTTCACACCATGGAAATTGGCAATTGCTACAAATTAGGGGTCCCCCTCACCCTGGAGAGCCAGTTGCTAAAGCATTTACCAATATGCCACTGCCCAGGCTCTATCCTCTTACAGAGATTACTGGGTTGAGAGTGATGGGGATGACTACTCAGACCCTTACCTCCACCCTACCTCCCTGGAGGAAAACTCCAGAGAAAACTTCATTGCCTGAGGGTCTGTGTCATCTGGGTAAATAGGCCCCATCATGCTGTAATGATAATAATTATCATTTAATGGGCACTAACCAGTGCCTGGAAACCGTGGTGGTGTAGTGGTTAAGAGTTTGGCTGCTAACCAAAAGGTTGGCAGTTCAAAGCCACCAGGCGCTCCTTGGAAACCCTTTGGAGCAGTTCTACTCTGTCCTATAGGGTCACTATGAGTCAGAATCGACTCGACAGCAATGGGTTTTTTTTGTTGTTGTTTAATCAGTGCCTGTCTGTCAGTTTGTCATACTGTGGTGACTTGCTTGTTGCTATAATGCTGGAAGCTATGCCACTGGAATTTCAAATACCAGCAGGGTCACCCATGGTAAACAGGTTTTAGCAGAGCTTCCAGACTAAGACTAGGAAGAAGGGCCTGGTGATTTACCTGCAAAAAATCAGCCTATGAAGAACCCTATGGATAACAAATGAGGGAAACTCTCAGTGAGGTGAACTGACACAATAGCTGCAACAGTGGACTCACACATCCCAATGATCATGAAGATGGCATAGGAACTGGCAACATTTCATTCTATTATACAAAAGGTTGACTCGACGACAACAACAACCAGTGCCAGGCATTGTTTTAGGTGCTTTATATGTAGTAAGTCATTTAATTTTCATAACTCCATGTGGTATGTACTTTTAATATTACCCTTTTCCAGATAAGAACACAGAAGCACAGGGAGGTTAAGTATCTTGCCCGACATTACAGAGCAAGTGACAGAAGCAGGATTGGAACCCATGCAGTCTGGCTCTTGGGCCTACTGTTTTGCCACAAGGCTTCTACCTTGATAAACTTGGGTCCTCCCTGGAAGGCACTCTCAGGACTTCAGGCCCAGAAGTCCCCTTTGTCAGCATGTCCAGACTGGACCCATCTTTCTGGGGCAGACTCACTGACCAGCCATCATCCCAGCACCCTTGACCTTGGCCCTTCTCTGCACTCGCGTCTGCATCTGTAAGGGTGATCTCCTGGGCTTTCCCACATAAACATCCTCTCTCCTCATTTCCCAGAGCTGGTCCACCTGGGTTCAAGAGATTCTCCAGGTTTCTTCTCTCTCTGCCTGCCACTCTGCACCCCCATCCCACTTCAGAAGCACAAGAGGAGGAAACTCAGAGTAACACCTTCAAATAAGGCCAAGACCTATATCTAAGTCCACAGTCTGCAAGGAGAACCAGAGATAGCAAGATCTGGAGGGTCCAGGTCGAGAAGACAAAGTGTAGGAACCTCCTGGCTGTGAGGCTTGTAGATTGTCTCCACTAACTGCCCTCAACCCAAGGAGGCCACTGCATGCCACTCCCCTACTTCTCTGTGCCTGGAGCCTCTGGGCAGGTATCCTTCTCCAAGCAGTCCTTGCAGCCCCCTCCCTCTTGTTTGGAAAGACCCATCACTGCTTCGCCTGGCTCTTGGAAGGCTGTGCTGCACCCAGCCACCCACCCACCCACACCGTGCTGCACCCTCCTCCACACACACACATACAAACACACCTGCTGTTCTACAGATAATGAGCAGCCCTGTGTTGGGAAGAGGTGAAACGAACCCAACAGTCCTGTAGGCAGTCGAGCCTGCAGCAAGCACATACAGCGCCCCGGTGTGGGAACCGGAAATAGGCACCCCTCCATTGATCCAACTAGAAAAGATTTCTGTTCCCGCCTTCTGCTAGGGAGGGCGAAAGTTCTTTTAGGAGAGAGCCTAGCGCAGGGGGTACGCTGGAGACCCGCAGCAGTGCACAACCTGTAAACTTCCACTCTGACAGCTCTGGGGCCTTTGCCTGGCTCAGCCGACTTTACTGTGCGGACGGTTGGGAGAAAAACTCAGCACGGTGCGACACTAGAGGGAGAGCAAAACGATTCTCCAGGGAGGTGATGGGATGTGCAATGACCCGAGTCTTCCTAAAGGTGCCTGGCATCTAGACTTCAGGGGCGTGAGTGACTTGGGCAAGCGTAAGTGATGGATCGTGAGCAGATGCACGGAGCGGGAAGGGCAGGGTACGTTCAGTGACTGGGAGCAGGTGTGACTGGTGCCAGGAGGAAAGACTGTGAAAGAGGGCGGGGTGGAGAGCAGACACTGCGCCCTTAGGCAGGGGAAGAACTGAGGGCTTGACAGTAAGTGCTCAAGCAAGATGCGCCCAAAGAGGACCAGACTCCAGGAATGGGGGCCTTGGGGGAGAGCACAGGCCATGCTCCCCACCTCGGAGGATGCCCCCACCGCGGGGAAACCTCCTTGGCAGAGGTAGGCGGCGGCAGCTCCCCCACCTACTGCCCTCTGCACCTTGGGCAGGTGCACCTCCTGGGACTTGGCCACACGGCCCACGCCCCAGCCCGGCTCTCAAAGCCTCTTTGTTCCAGGGGCTGAGCAGTGGCGGGTCCGGACCTGATAAGGGCCGGCTGGGGCGATAGCCGCCCCGCCCTGTGCACTGGGCCTCCCCAAGCCACACTCTTTGGCTTCGCACACACGCTGCGTCCGCCCCAGCTGGACTTAGATGCAGGGGCCCTCCCTGCAGCCCACTTAAGCCCCCTCTCATCCACATTGGAAAGCAAGACAGAGAATTATTATCCCTATTTCAGAGTTAAACAAACTAAGGCTCCAAAAGGGAAAATGACTTGCCCATGGTCATTTCTTCTACAATCAGGGACACCTACTAAGTATAGGCCAAGTGTACTATTTACATTATCTTTTTAAATCCAAAGTAGGAATTAGGATGTTCCTAATTCCTACTTTGCAGATGAAGAAACTGAGGCCCAGAGAGGTGAAGTCACTTTCCCAAGGTCACACAGCCACAGAATCTGGACCAGAACCCAGGTCCCCTGCAGCGGCAATCAGAGGAGATGGGAACAGGCAAGTCACCATCCCAAGGGAATGGGAGGGCACCCCCAGCCTCAACCGAAAAGATCTAATGGGACTGGAGGTGGCCGTGACCCTGCCTCTCCGTAGGAGGGGTGTCAAAGAATTTATGGACATATTTTAACAACCACACACACACATCCCTGGGTCCCCTCACAGCACCTAGGACGATATTTCTCCAGGTCCACCTCCTCTGGGTCCTCCCCCTGAATCTAGTCTGAGGTTAGTCAGAAAAAGCCATGCAACGTCTGCCTGGCTCTCTTGGGTGCAGCCCAGCTACCTTGAGACTGCCATGCTGGCGAAGCTATAGATAGGTGTTCTGCTCAACTGCCCGGCTTAGCTCCCAGCCATCAGCCAGCATCAACTGCCAGCCATGCAAGTGAACCATCTTGGATGTCCAGCCCAGTTGAGCCTTCAGATGGCTGCAGCCCTGGACAACATCTGTCTGCAACTGCATGAGAGACCCCAAACGAGAACTATCTGGCCAAACCCTTCCTGAATTCCTGACCTGCAAAATAAGATTGTTGTTTGGAGTAATTTCTTACACAGCAATAGTAACCAGAACAAAGGACAAAGAGGTAATGGGGACTTGTAAAAGCATCTTCTGAGGCTTTCCAGAGACATTTTACACAGTTTTACACCAAAGGCTTTAAACACTGGAGTTATCTGCATGAGGCTGGAGGAGGTATGATGCCCCCTCATCTTCTAAAGGGGCAACATGAGAAGACACACTGAAATGGAATAAACCAGGGGCAGCTGGCAATCGGGAGTCCCTGGGTGGTAGAAACGGTTAATGTGCTTGGCTGCTAACCAAAAGGTTGGAGATTCAAGTTCACCCAGAGGTGCCTCGGGAGAAAGCCCTGGAAATCTACTTCCCAAAAATCAGCCACTGAAGGCCCTATGGAGCACAATTTTACTCTGATACACATGAGGTCGCCGTGCATCAGAGTCAAGTTGACAGCAACTGCGAGGTATAGCTGGTGATGGAGACAAAGGGGAGGGTTGGATGAGCACATCTCACTAGGCTCAGCTGATTGAAAAAAAAATGTTATGTAT